AATGGAGGAGAAAGGATTGCTGTGTGACCATCCCCCCTGGGGGGTGATTTCTCGCTTTCTGTCTCTAATGTCTCTGTCTGTCTGGCAAGCGCCCATGCCCTATAGCAAAAACCCCCCCAAAAAAAAAAAAAAAAGTTACAGGAGTCATATGCTTACATCCAGGAGGAACTCTACATTTCTCTAATGGATTAGTCAAAATAAAGATGTCCAAAATGAAAGGACAAAGAAAATCTTCCGTAATACAACACTCCCCTCTGGATACCACTCTGTGTCCCTGTTGCCGTAGAAGTAGTATCTTAAAAGAGCCACGCTGTCTTTTTCCCTCTCCTGTCCACTCTCCAGTTGACTATAATTTGGCTTTTACCCTCCACCACTTGAAACACTTTCGTCAAGGTCACCTGTACTGTCTGCGTGGCCAGTCCAGCGTGTACTTGACCTTTTGGCCTATTTGACTTTGCTCCTCCCTCCCGGACTCTTTCTCTTCTGTGGGTGGTTATGACACATGCTCTTCTGACTTTCCTCTTGAGCCCTGGCTGCTGTTTCCCCTTCTGTCCCAGACCCCTAAATAATGGGGTTCCAAAGGCCATTGTCTTGGCTCTCAGCTTTCCCCATAACTCCCTTGTAGTCCATTCCCCTGGATTAAATCTTGTTATTATGCTGATAAATGCATCTGTGGCTAGACCTCTCCTCTGAGCTCCAGACTCTCATCTCCAGCTGCCTTCTCGTCTTACAGACATCTCACACTGAATGTGTCTAAAATGGAACTTTCGTCACCTCTACTCCCACCCCATTTTTCCTCTTCTCAGCAAATGGCTAGTACCATTCCCCAGTCCTAGGCCTGACGCTTGCATTGTCCCCATCCTGTCCTCTCCCCTTTGTAGCCTCCTCACTCCTCTCCATCTCCATTGGCAGACTGCCTCCTTACTCCAGGCCACCATCACTTCCTGTCTGGCCCACTCCTAACAAGTCTTCCCACTTCTGCTCTTGTCTCCCCACCCGCTAGTGCAATTGCAAAGAATAACACAGATTAAACTGTTGAGTTGTCAGAAAGGTCATGATGCATTTTTACATAGAAAAAAAAATACGTCATGTCTTTTCCAACAACCTAGTATTTCATGTCCCTGTTTATTCATTTCAGTGGCTTCCCAAATTCCCTGCTTTGGCCTGTCTGCCTGATCTGGTCCCTGCCCAGTTCTGCAATTTATTTTCATGTCATTCTTCCCCCAACTTACTGTGTCTGGTGACACTGGTCTTATTTTACTTCCTTTTAACGTGACCTAGGTCTTTTTTTCCCTCAGGATCTTTGCAGTTTCTTCTTTGAACTGCCAGCTCCTCTTCTTCCTTTAATAGGGTCTTAGCTTAAATTCACCTATTCAGAGAGGTCATTCCTTGACTATCCTACCTGAAGTAGGTTCTTCTTTTTCATTTCTAATTTATGTATATACTTTTTTTTTTTTTGAGAGATTTTTACTATAGGGCACGTGCGCTCGCCAGAAAGACAGAGAGAGATGAGAGCCAGAAAGCAAAAAATCCCTCCCCAAGGATGGCCATGCAACAATCCCTTCTCCTCCATTCTCTTCTCGGGATCTTGGGCATGCACGCACACGCGCCCAGCATGAATTTAAGCCTCCAGGTCCAGGACTTGAACTATGGTCGACTACATGGGAGTCCAGTGACATAGCCACTACACCAACTGCTGGTTTCATGTATTTACTTCTTTTTCTCCTTCAGTGAAGAATGTAAATGTAGTAAGAGCAGGGGTTGGCTTTTTTTTTTTTTTTTCTCTTCTTTTCTTTTTAACCATTTTAAAAAATAATTATTGAATTTTACTGATTTTTATTACTGTTTTTTTAAATTTGCTGTAGGACATATGTACTCACCAGAGGGAGGGGGAGAGAAAGTGAGAATGCAAGTCACTAGGTCCACTAGGATTCGAACTGTGGTGGGCCATGTGGGAGTCCAGCACCTTAACATCATTCCACCTGCTGGCCCCAGGGACTGGCTTTGACTCCTTTACTGTTCTATCCCTAATGCCTTGAACTCACCTTGCATGCATGTAGCAAATAGTCATTAAATATTTATGAGATGATAAGAAGAAGAAATGGGAAGGGAAAAGTGTAATGGATTGGGGAGGGGTATGGGGAGACAGAAGGAGGGGGTTGAGACAGGACGAAATGCTTACTGAGCAGTTGCTGTGCTCTTAACAGCTTCAGATATGCCCTCCCATGTTCTCTTCTGGGTCGCAGGCGTCACCAGCATGCTGGTGGCATGTCAGAGGCATTACCCAACTTCCTAACATACCCTCTGACCCCTGGGTTCTGTCCCCACCTAATCATTTGAGGCTCTTCTTTGGCTTATTGTATTTTCAAGAACCTTGCCTAACACCTGATAAGCCCCCAATATTAGTTGAAAAAAATGGGAAGAAAAGTTTAATTGTTTTAGGTGATTACTAAGGATTTCTTTTGGATGAGTTGCAACATTTCTGTTTGTAAAGTTTTTCAAAATTGCTGTTGTGTAAATGTTATAAAACTGAGTACCTGTGTGGCTCCATGAATTGAAATAGATTCTTTTCCAGTTCTTTCAGAACTCATCAAATTGAGGCTGCTCCAACCAGCTCTGCAGGGGATGGGTTTAAGGCAAATCTTGTCTTTAAAGAGATTGAAAAGAAGCTTGAAGAGGTAAGGTTTACATAAAATATTCCTGGGAGGATCCCGCGGCTTAGAGGGGATGTGTAAGGTTTCAGGTGTTGCCATGAGGTTGTACAAGTTGAACATTAGTATCATGTTATCAAGTGTTTTTAGACTTCTAAGGGTATGTTAAGGCTTTCTTTTAATTCCAGTAAGAATGCATTTCAGAAATGTACAAATCTTCATATTTGCATTTGTTAAAGAACTGTAATAATACTATTAAAATCTTCATTCTTTTTCTGCTTTTTTTCTCAGTTATGAACATAGTTTATATTCAAAGGAGCTGCAATTTATTTTGATGTAATTTCCTTCTGAATTAAAAAGATCTTATTTAGGGACTGGCTCCATAGTACAGAGATTAACTGCTGTGTGTAGCACTAACCTTTGCATATAATGTACACGTATGTACACCTGGCATGCCTTTCAAGTTGCTGGGGCCAGGACTTGAACCATAGTCGGCCATATGGGATCTGGCTCCCAACATATAGTGCACCCTCCAGAGGGCTTAATCATGCTGCAACTTCCTTCCTCCAGTCTAGCCTGCCAGGATTCTGGGTAACTTATCTATGTGTCTGGCATGTTTTCAGTGTGACTAAGCCAAGGACCTGAACGAAGTCAGTCTGTAGCTTCTATTCTATAGTCCAGTATGCTATGCACTGGGTCACAGAGACTGGTCCTATATATATACACACACACATATATACATGCATACATACATACACACACACATAAATACATATACATACATTTACACATACATATATATGTATGTGTATATATGCATATATGTATGTATATATGTGTGTATATATGTGTTTAAGAATTATTTTATTTAACTTTATTTATTTATCTATTTAACTTTATTTATTTATATATTTAAATTTGACCAGAGAGGGACAGAGTGAGAAAGAGAGAGAAAGAGGGAAAGTGAGAAAGCAAGCCACCAGGTCTGGGACTCAAACCACAGTTGGCCATGTGGGAGTCCATTGCCCTTTACCACCATGCCACCTGCCGGCCCTTCTATGTTGTTTTTTTAATATACCATATATGCATATCCATTTTTACACACAATTATTACTTCTTGGTAGATAGTGATCATACTAAAGGATTCTAATAGTAGCTTTTTCTCCAAAAAGAGTTATTCTTTTTTTTTTTTTTTTTGGGAGAGGTTTTTGCTATAGGGCACGT